ACCGTTATTTACGAAACTAATTAATTTACAAAATAAATCTGATAATGTCTGTAACGTAAATAAAATATGATTTGTCTATAAAAAGACGAATGATAAACTCGCACTCAGAAATATAAATACTCTCTCTCCTCCACTCAAATACTTTTTTTTCTTTCATACTATTCACTTTCTACCATTTGCGAGTCATTCTCTTTAAGAGAAAATGAATCGTCACGGAGAGAATGATGGGAGCAGTGCGACGACGATATCCCGATATTTACTTCCCGATATAAGTCGCTAAGAGCATAATCATTTCCTGTCACTTTCGTATATAACGGCAAAGAGCTTTTGTATATAATTTGCGTTCGTCAAAAATTTTCAAAAGTTATTGTAATAAGTAAAATATATCCATCTCGCTCGGCGTTTGCAAAGTAAAATTATTATCTTTCACAATTACATTCAAACTTGTTTAGTATTTGTCGTAAAAATAAATTATTATAATCAAATAATCAGTTAAGTTAATTATTAATGACGATAACGATCATATTATTTTTGGCTGTTAGTCTAAGAGAAGAGAGAGGTTTATAATTTTGCCGCGTTTTGCCGCGATAATCTAAATGCACAGCCTGTCACCGGTATTCTATCCGGCAAAGTAATGGAAATTGATTAAATAATAATATTAGTTAATATTTCGTTCCTTCGAAGAAAGAATTCCCCCGGAATAAAATGACAAAATCATTTTCACGACACCCACCATCCTCGTGGAAGGTCCATAAATCACACAATTTCCGCAGGGGACGATTACCACAGAAGGCGATTCCCCTAAATTCTCATCCACTCCGCGCGGCCATCGTAACCGGAAACATAGTGTGATACCTCCTTCTATTTTTCTCGATAAAGGTTTACGCGCAGTTGAGCAAAAACATCGACATACTGTAGTATTTTATCGGCAAGCCGTATAGTCCCTTTCCTCTCAACGAATGCTTAAAAGAAAACCAGATAAAGGGGAGTAGGAACCGCTGTGATATTCAGTAAGTGACTAGAGAAAAAAACGTACAAACAAACGTTCTCCGCAAATTAAAATTTTTATCCTCGACCATCGACTAATTTCTGCTTGGGAGGTTCAACTCGCAAATCTCGCAGCAACACGCTTCAGTTATGCACGCGGTTGCGCCACTGCGCGCAATTTGCACGACAGTCCCCGTTCTCTTTCTCTTTTTTGGTCTTTTAATCCCACACGAGAAGCCAGGCTTCTTTCAGCTTCTTTCCCTAACGAGCTACGGTTGTGCTTGCACAAAAACACGTCATCTGAGAGAAATATGGGCGAGTTTCTGACGCGCTCTCATCACTAATTATTCTGAAATTTAGACAGATTTTTCGACACGAAAGTTTTTCGATAAAAAGAGAAAGAATTTCGGGAAAAAAAAATGAATTCGAGCGGCGAGACTTTATCGGTATTATTACCGGATGAAAAAGCACGTAATATAGGAACAGCTGACGAAAGCGATACATCGCTACGAAGGTAGAATGAATTCCACGTCGCGTCGCGGTAAGAAATCCAATTTGCGGCCGTGTTAGAAAAACTGAGAGCAACCGATCGCGTTGATGAAAAAGATTCTTAAAAGTAACGATGAAGACGATGGGAAAGATTATCGCTGCGCGACGCGGCGAAAGGCGGACGGGATTGCCCGCGCCGAAGGAAAAGCACAACTCATAACAGAGAATTCGTTATTGCGGGATTAATTATCGGGTAAATCGAGGCGCAAAAAAAAGCTGGAATGAAAACTCCATTGCGAGTTGATCGTGATGCAAAGCAATGAGAAATATTCTCACGTGAAACGAGATTTGTTGCCAGTTCAACGTCGGGATAAAAAATAGAATATATTTTATCGGTTTTTTAACATATATATGTACGTGCGTGTGTATTAGATAGCAGAATGACACTCTGACAAACAAAATAAAAGATCAAATAGCAGACAATTTACATGCTGCAAAGAGCATCATGTGCAAAAAAAAGATCGTTCGATTAATAATCGTTTCAAATAATTTCAAATAAATGGAAATTAATGGTTCAATTTAGATAAAAAAAAAACAATGAAGTACAATCTTTCACGTGGGACTTGCCCCACGTGAATTTTAATATAAAATAATTACACAGTTTGAAAAAATGAAAAAGTAACTTTTCTCGCATTACTCTCGCATTTATATCAAATATATATCTATATGCATATCGCTATACTTTCACATATATGTACTCGCGTCATGACAACTGCTCCTACAGCTATATCTTATTTTGCGTTCGCGCACATTGTCAATGCTGTAAGTAATAAGTTCTGCCGTTCTATTCCTGGACCGTTAATACGACTCATATTTCTGCAATGCGAATTGTAATTTTCCATGAGGAATAATGTACTGGAAATTCGATAAGGAATTCGGGTTGCTACTACCCAGTTTAGCGACTCGCGGAACGTGCCGGGGTCCCCGCACGGCCCGGCGTGAATTGCACGACGTAATTCCCTCGCGCAAGGTCGGTCTACTTTGTGAAGGCGCGCGCGCTATCTTTCATTCCGACGAAATTAAATTATCGCGATCCACCGCTGGAAATTATGACGTCGCGGTTCGTTTAACGCGTTCGCGCACCGCGCGCGTCAGCCACTTTTTTCCACAGTCCGTTTCCGCAGCCGTCGACCGCCCAAGATGCGCGCCCATGTGTCCCATATTTAATCCGCGACGCGGAGAGACCCGTCTCTCGTGCGAAAACTTTCCTCTTTATGTTCCTTAACGTCTGTCCGCCTGTCCATTTCGAGAATGCCGTCGGGCGTAATTTCTTCCAGCGAAAAGTTGAAAATCTCATCCCGCTATACGTTCTCGCAAACAATCTTATTGTGGACAGTTTAAATTTATACTGGATTTGTGTATTCTTCTGAAAATTATTACATTATTCGAGGTGTTTTCGGGAAGAAACAGGGACAGCAATTGAATTATAAAATTTATAAATTATTAAATCAAACTATAAGTTACATTATTGTATATTTTTCTAATTTTATATTAATCTGTAACATTTTCAATAAATAAATTTTTCTACATTTAGAGATATCTAATATTTGATCTCCATTCAGAGAGTAAGTTAAATTTTTAGAAACTACATTTTTATCGTAGTTGAATAATACATTAGCGCAGTATTGTTTATATAAAATTAGATTTTGTTTTAAATAGAATTAAATATTCTTTTCATATTCAGATTCATAAGCGAATAATAAACCAAACTGATTTGCCCGTTGAAAACTGCAAAACGCGGCGGTTTTATTTGGAGGAAAGATATTTTAACGTTCAGAAAAAGATCTCGTCGTGTTACCGTCGCTCGTAAGAAAAACCGGCCGCGGAAAACGCCGGCTTTTAACGCCGCCGTGGGCGCGTGTTTGTCGGAGGTGGATTCGCCGAAGTGTAAGAACCGAGGGAGGCAAAAGGTGAAAGAAAAACACGAGCGTAGGAAAGCCATTTAATAAAATCCGGATTGGACCGTCGTGCAAAATTGAACGGTCCATTAAACGACGAAGTCAAAGTCAATCAATCGCGTGTCGTCACGCGCACGTAAAGCGTATAACTCTTCACACACACGTTGCGCGTATCAAATTAGATTGCCAGAATCATATGGTCTGACGATCAATCGGTATCGAATTCAACGGCTGCGCTGTAATGATGCAATGATTACACGAAGTGCGAGATAAATGCAATATACCTAATGGATAACGTGGTTGCCGCATCGTTATAAACGACGGAGGGTTGGTTTAATCAAGGGGAGGGGGGGAGAAGGGAAATTCGCGTTTACATACCCGATATCCGATCCGATTGCGGCCGATTGGATTTTCGCTTCGACAATACTTCAATTTTGCCGGCATGAAAGGCAAGTTAACTATGTCTACACTGTCATAATTCAAACACGCAACATATGACATAAAACGGGGACTTACATCTTTCCCCATATATACGTTATTTCATATAATAACGCTCCTTATTATCCAACTTATCTCCCGTGTACACGTTATGCGCTACAATATTGAAGTATCTCAGTTCAAAGAATTCACTTTGCGCTCTCAAGTTTTGTCTCCTTTTTGGCGCTTCTTTTCCAAGGTTTCCCCTCGAACGTTCACAGTTCGATGTTGGCGCGCGGGACGATCTCATCGTATTCCGCGTACAGGTGCTGGCGCATATTCGCATGCTACTGCAGTAACGGCGCACACACTCCCCCAGATTCGTTCGAATTGGATTCGAGAAAAGAGGCTATGGGAAAAGATACGAGTGCAATGGTACATCATGCTGACAGGTATATAGCTGTCGCGTCGTGCGTCGAGGAAGTTGCTTTATACCGGTAATACGTCGTTTATCTCGTGGTCTATATCTGTCGCAACTACTCGGTAACGGCGTAAACCATTCCGTATACTCTTCCTTCGTCTCCTCTCTCTTTCTCTCTCTCTATTCTGTGCGATACCCAGTTCTCAATTTCTTCGAAAAGTAGGGAAAAAGTAGTGGGGAGGAAAAAGGAAAATGGGAGAGGCCGCCGGGGACCCTTTCATCAGGTATCATTGGTCGCTGCTATTCGTCCTATTTTCGCGCTTTAAAGCCGCGTTTTGCCGCAAAACCCAATATCGTACATTACACAACGTTTTCTATCTATCTAGTCCCTTCACACGTCATTTACCGCGCAATCTATACCGTAGCTGGTCTTGAAATTAGCATAAATCCCACCGGGGATTCTATATCGGTTCGAAATATTCCCATCGCGAAATGCGAGGAGAGAAACTACCAGGGGTGGGGGGAGGGGGAGAGGAACATTGTGTCGAACTTGCGAGAACTCGCAAATCGGCGAGGGAATGCATTTAAGGCCGCATTATTATTACCGAGGAAATTAAATCCA